GTCCGCCGCGCCTCTCTCGTCTTTCGTCTTTCGTCTGCGACCTTACCTCTCCTCGTCGATCTCCTCTTTCGTCCGCCGTGCCTCTCTCTCGTCGACTCCCCCGTCCACCGCGCCTCTCCTCTCGTCGAATCCCCCATCCGACGCCGGCCATCTCGTCGTCCGTCGTGCCTCTCCAGTAGCCACACCTCCCCCGTCCGCCGCGCCTCTCGTCGCCATCCCCTCTCAAGCATCCTACGATTTGGGGTACATATCTATCTCCTTTTCAATCATCAAACTAGGGTTTCAATTTTTCTTTTTTTCACTATTTAATGAAAATTTTACTTGATTTCACAAATTTTTTTCGGATTATTGAAATTTGATTGTTTTGTTTTGTTTCTGATTGGATCAGAAAGCTCGCATCTAGATTTCGCTTTTTGAACAGAAGGATTTGAGGATTGAAGGCCACATTGTTGTGAGTATCTCTCTTATTCCTTGCTTTAGTATTTGGTTTTAGTGTCTGGAGATCGATTGCTGCAGTTCTTTATTCCTTGCTAAAAGCATAATCATCAAGCATGATCTACTATTCAATATGGGTCATCTTTTATTCCTATTATCATATCCAGACCCCAATAATGTCATCTTATTTAGAGTTTCCTTCAGATATTCTAATCAAATGCACATATTTATGAATAATGATGCTCTGGTTTTATGGATAAGTTCCTTGGAACGATTGTGTAAGCTTGCTGATTATTTTTAACCATGGGGAACGTAGAAAAGACCTAGAAATTATGAATCTAGAAAGTATTGGCGTGTATTGAAGTGCAGAGTCTAAGAATTTGATGTGATATGCAGTAAGATACTAATTCTTTAGTAATTCCTTCCAATCATATACACAATGATAATTATTATTCATATCGTTTCATTTAATTGATGTCCAAATATATGCTTTCAAATATATTGGGTAAATATGCTTTTAAATAAATTGTTTACGTCTCTATATAAAATTTCTAATCTAATTAGCTTATATAAACAAATTGGAAACTGTCAATTCACGATTAATACCAAAACACATGCACCAAGTGAATATTGGCTCTATAACGATTAATACCAAAGTCAATTCACGATTAATACCAAAACACATGCACCAAGTGAATATTGGCTCTATAACGATTAATACCAAAACACATGCACAAATTTGGTTGACCCATATTGTTTCTCTTTTTTATCTTTTTGAGCCAAAGATATTATATCTCATTTACTTGCTATAATTGCATCCTCATAGTTTTATATTAGCTCTATAATGATAAGTTTCAGTTCTCTAAACAAAATATGAAACTAATAAATTTTTATTTTTTTAGATATAAGCATATTTTAGTTTATGTATACTACTATTAAACAAATAGTTATGCTTGAGAGAGACTAGTCCTATAAAATAACTTACAAACTCTTTGGTTAATGGATTCTTATACATTGTTAGTAAGTAGATATATATTATTGATGTCTTAATATATTTTCTTTTCTCTAGCAGATACAAGTTATGGATAAAAATAGAGGTTGGATGTATAACACTTCTCGTGTAAGTGCCGAGTACATTGAAAAAGTGAATGACTTTCTTGATAGAGCATTCGCAAGAGTAGCTAAAGGGAATGAAATATGTTGTCCTTGTCGTGGTTGCTGTAATCGTAGTTGGCATTAGCAAAATACTATCTACAATCACTTGATTGTCAAGGGATTTATAGATAATTATTACAAATGGGTTTTTCATGGTGAGGATTTGCCATCAAGATTGAACGTCCATAGCGAGAGTGATGATGATGATGATGCACATACTCATGATGATGTAGGTGGATTACTACATGATATTTTTAGAGGCACAATAGAAGAGTTTCCAGATAACGAAGAAGAAGGCATAAAGGAAGGCACAGAGGAATTGAGCGATGATGCTAAGAAATTTTACAAGTTAGTGGAAGAAGGCCAGCAAGAGTTATTCCCAGGATGCAAAACTTTTTCCAAACTCTCTTTTATAATTCGATTATATCTGCATAAGTGCATACATGGACTAAGCAATGAGGCATTTGATGATTCTCTGACCCTATGGAGGGAAGCAATTCCAGACATAAAGTTGCCAAAGTCTTTTTATGAAGCCAAAAGGATTGTCAAGGACTTGGGTCTCGATTATGAAAAAATACATGCGTGTAATGTAAATGGGAAGCTGAATGAGTGTAGTAGTTGTGGTGCTTCTCGGTGGAAGCCAACGAAGGATGATGTAGCAAATGATTCCAATCAACCATCTAAAAAGGTGCATAATGTTCCAGTAAAGGTTTTGAGGTACTTTCCTTTAAAACCTAGAGTTCAAATACTATTCATGTGTTCTCAAACTGCTAAATGTATGAGTTGGCATTCAAAGGAGCGCATCTAGGATGGGATTCTAAGACATCCGGCTGATGGCAAAGCTTGGAAAGACTTTGATGAAAAGCATCCAGAGTTCGCATTAGACCCTCGTAATGTGAGATTAGGGTTGTCTAGTGATGGATTTAATCCCTTTCGAACAATGAGTATCGCACATAGTACATGGCCAGTTATCTTAATCAACTATAATTTACCGCCATGGATGTGCTTGAAGGCAGAATATTTCATGCTATCTCTACTTATTCCTGGTCCTCAATCCCCTGGCAACAACATTGATATATACTTGCAGCCACTGATTGATGAATTGAAAGAGTTGTGGGAAGTTGGATTGCTTACATATGATGCTTCTATCAAACAATCATTTAAATTGCGTGTAGCTTTGCTTTGGACAGTTAGTGACTTCCCAGGATACGCAATGTTGTCCGGATGGAGTACTAAAGGCAGATTGGCTTGTCCTTATTGCAATTATAGTACATGCTCTGAATATTTAAAATATAGCAAGAAGATGTGTTATATGGATCATCGCAGATTTTTAAAAGATGATCACCCATGGCGATTTAATAAAAGATTGTTTAATGGTGACATTGAGCTTGGAAGAGAACCAACATCTTTGTCTGGGACTGAAATTATAAATGAATTATCTAATTTTGTCAATGAATTTGGAAAAAAGCAGAAGAAAAGAGCGGATAGGAATTGTCCGTGGAAGAAAAGGTCAGCATTTTTTGATTTGCCTTATTAGGAGCATAATAGATGTCGGCACATGCTAGATTTAATGCATATTGAGAAGAATGTTTGTGACAATATTGTTGGCACATTGTTAGATATTCCAGGAAAGACGAAGGACCATGTTAAAGCTTGCTTTGACTTGCAACAAATGGGCATAAGACGAGACCTTCATCCTGTGAAGTCGGCTGATGGTCGGCGTGTTACATTTGCGAAAGCTTGTTTTTCTATGACAACACAGGAGAAAGAAATGTTTTGCAAAGTGTTGGCTGTTACATTTGCGAAAGCTTGTTTTTCTATGACAACACAGGAGAAAGAAATGTTTTGCAAAGTGTTGGCAGATGCAAAAGTGCCTCATGGTTGTGCATCAAATATCTCAAGATGTGTAAATATGAGGGAGAAGAAAATATCTGGGTGTAAGACTCATGATGCGCATTTTCTTATGTAATATTTACTTCAAATTGCAGTAAGAAGAAGTTTGTCTAGGAGTGTTGCTATTCCTCTCATCAGATTATGTGCTTTCTTCAAGGGTTTATGCAGCAAAGTTATCAAGCCAGTTGAACTTAAATCCTTACAGTCTGAGATCATAGAGATACTTTGTCAGCTTGAGAAAATATTTCCACCCAGTTTCTTTGACATCATGGTTCATCTCCCTATTCATTTAGTTCAACAAATTTTGGATTATGGGCCAATCAACTACTTCTGGATGTATCCAACAGAGAGATATCTTTGTAGATTAAAGTCATATGTGCGTAATAGAAGTGCTCCTGAAGGCTCCATAGCAGAAGGATATTTAGCTGAAGAGTCTCTAACTTTTTGCTCATTATATATGCATGATGGTGTGAAGACAAGATTTAATATATACACAAGTAGGTATGAAAGAGTTGATGTTGCAGAAGAGACATCGCCAATTTTTCCTAAGATAGGTCATCCTTTGGGAGGAAATAGGAAAAGACGAGGCAAAGCATTTACATTAGATAATGTTGACTGGATTAATGCACATCGATATGCCTTGTACAATTGTGATAACAATGAAGTTGATAATTATATTAGGTATGCTTCATTTACTTAATTATTACTTCTTATTTGATGTTGTCCATATTTTACTTTATAATAGACCCATGCATTTTGTATTGTTATGCAGTGAACATAAACTTTTGATTGAGAACCAGTCAAGAAAAAGAGGCAGAACAAATAAATGGACGGGAGCTCAAAAGCACAGCAAGGACTTCACTGACTGGTTTAAAACTAGAGTATCTGAGTTGGAATCAGCGCCTGATTATCTAAAATGGTTATCAATGGGTCCTAATTTTGTAGCAAAAAAATACAGAGGCTATTATGTGAATGGTTGTACTTTCCACATCAAGGCGCGTGATGAAACATGAAAACTCAGAATAGTGGTGTGTCTGTAACTAGTCAAGTAGACAGTTATGCAAGTTCTAAGGACCATAATCCTAAAACTGGAAATGTTACTTTTTATGGCGTCATACAAGATATCATTGAAATAGACTATTGGGGCAAATTTAGTGTTGTGCTATTCAAATGTGACTGGTTTCATTCAGAAAAAGATGAATATGGGCTTATTCGCGTCAATTTTAATAACAAACGCCATATAAATGACCCTTTTGTCATGGCATGCCAAGTTCATCAAGTTTTCTATGTGAAGGATCCTGTTGAAGAGGCAAACAAGAATTGGCATTATGTTTTAAAGAAGATTCCTAGTCATGTTTATGATATTGACAGTTATATTGGTGCTACATATGGAAGTGACTATTGGGTTGAAAATAGTGATATTGTCAGTGATTTAATCCCAACCACTAATGATGACATAGATGATGTGGGTTGGTGTAGAGATGATGTGTCGAGATCCACTGTTGACATTCCTCCAAATATAAATATTGATTCAGAAAATGTAATGGAAGGTGATGAAGACAGTGACTTTGATGAAACAGACTGGGATTGGATGGAGTAAAGACATGGGACTATCTGTTTGGTTGAAAGAAATGAGCTTTGAATTTTTGAATATAATTTGTCATTTTCTTTATTATTTGAAATAAATGAGCTTTGTACTTTATGTTTTGAGTATATGGGTTAAGTATAATTTGTTATTATCTAAGTACAGAAGATTAAAAAATAAAGCCTACTGCTTCACTATTGAGCTGCAGTTCAGTCTTGTACATTTGTTTTATGTGCCTGTAACTTGTGCTCGACTTCCTTCTCGGTAATTCGGGTACATGTCGGAGGCTTTCATTTTGTGTAGATCAGCGAGGTATTTTTTTGCTCCATGTCAATGTTTGGTCCTATTATATATTGCCCGCTCAACTCGACATAGTTAGTTAGGGCGTCTTCATCAACTGAGGTTCTCCTTTGACAGCTTACTAGCTGGTAAATAATCTTATTTCAGGGCTAGCTAAGTAAGCTGGAAGTGGACATTACAGTTTACCTCTTTATGATGCTCATCCTTCTGCCTAGCTTATGAATTGGCATTATGTAGTATTTTTGAACAATAAAGCCTACTGCTTCACTATTAAGCTGCAGTTCAGTCTTGTACATTTGTTTTATTGCAGAGACTATGAAATGGTCTTTATTAAGGCGAGTCTTTATTTTGGAGTTTGTATAGCTCTTTTTGATTCAAATATAAAATTGTGTTCCAGGGCCAAATTGTCAGCCAATTGAAATCTGACATGGAAGGGTTGCAGGAAGAAATCAAGGCTCAACTGGTCAGTTCGTTTTCATCCTTGATGTCACTTACCTTTTCCATGATCTGCTACATCTGTAGAATTATGTTTATAGGAAATTCGTACTGAAGTATCCTGCCACATGATGAATCACACAGATAGAGCTTGATTGCTTCAAGCTAACATGATATGATTCAAGACTTCTTAATCCATGGAGCCTTCTCTCAGAGTTAGTTCAATTCTTTGTGGAGAGGCGGGCAAGTGATTTTTTTTCCTTTAAAGACATTGATAAGAGAGGGTGTGCTTTTAGTGAATTATGGATTGTTGAATTGGAAGTACTGTTTCTTTTAATACCTGAAGATAAAATAACTCATTAACTACAGTCTAATCTGATACTAGTACCATTCTGACACTGTTCTGGAGATTTTGATCTGAAGTTGATGGGGAATGACAAGGAGATTTCTTGCGGGAACTTATTTGGATAAAACAAAATGAAAAATACAATAATGAAATTGCATTCTTCATTTAATAAAAAGAAAATATACAAATGTTGGGCCTCACACCCATCCTATAAAACCTAAAATGAGTTCTGAAGAACTATCATACTTTCTTTAAAAGTATGAGTTCGGAAAAATCTTTTTATGACCAATATTACCCTTAATTTTTTTAAATATTATATTGTTATCCTAATCTATTCTAATTATCCTATCTTTTTTAAATTGGTAATTAAATGTTTTATCATATTCATAATGTGACTTAACATGTTATTGGATAAAGAAGATACGTTTAATATAATTCAAATCATTTACTTATTTTAGTTCGTAGAGAACTACAAATATCCCCTACATAATTTATAATTTATTGAAAAAACCTCTAAAGTTTCAAAAATTACAAACGAACACTCATAATTCAAAATTTATAAAAAACACCTTGAGAATTTCTAACTCATTAGTAAATTGAAAACATACGAATTATAAATAGTCTATAAACAATTTATAATCTATAGAAAAGGCCTATAAATTTAAAAAAGTTGTAAAAACCCGGTTTATGTTTTGTTGAGTTCAATGTGATGACTAGTGACTGATATCAGGCTTTCGCTGTGTTCATTTTCCATACTACACTGTTGCTAGTTGAATCTTCGGTATTTAAAACTTTACATAGACGTGGGTGTCCCTTATTAGCCCTTGTGCGACATCCTATTCACGAGTCATAGCAGCCACCTTGATTGGTGGAGAGAAGGTGGTGAGCTTTCCACCCCTGGGGCTCGCTAGTTGGTGTGGGTTTTGGTCCAATTGACTTCATTATCTTAATAGCAATAAGTTGATTCCTGATAACTACACTTTTTATGATGCTTCATTTGTACTCTGAGTCATATGCATTCTGATGTATCTTTTGTCCTTGGAATGACCAGGGAACAAACAAAAACATGGAGGCAGAAAAAAATTCTTTGTCAACCTCTTCAAAACAGAAGAGATCATTTGAGGTAAGTTTAGTTGAGTTTTTATTGTATATTCTAAGTTCCTTTCTAAATTTATTAATTTGTTTTTCTTTTTAACTTTTTCTTGAGTGTAGGTTATGAGCACAAAACGATTGCGTTGTGACAAGAAGAAGCCAAACAGTATTTTTCATCCTCCTAAACAGATTACAAATGTGGCAACGACGTGTCAGCAAGTGCGACCGAAAGAACATAATCGGGTAAATAATATGGATATGCTAAGAAAGCATGTGCCCAATATATGTGAACTGCCTGCTAGAAATATTGCGATACAAAGAAAAGAGTTAGAGGAGCGGACAAAGAAGAACTTGATCCGTATGAGACAATCAAGAGAGAATAAAATGTTGGATGAAATAGAAAATGCGGAGCGAGATGTTCGGAAAAGATTCATAGAGCAAAAGGGACAATCTATTAAGGCACGACAACAACTTCAGAATCTTGAACAAATTAAAGTGATAGCAAGAGGAGAACACTCAGCCAACTTAGAAAATGAAGAGGAAGATATTAGAGAGAATTTCATAGAAGATGCTGAAGGAGATGTTAGTGAACATGATGAGCAAGATGAAGAGGAAGATATTGGGGAGGATTTTATAGACGAGTCTGAAGGAGATGAGGACTTACGGGGACAACCAGCAAGAGAGGTAGCCAATAAAGTGGTAGACAAACCAAAAAAGTATCGAGGGCAAACTAAATGTGAAAAAGTTCATGCACGAAGTGTACATGATCGACAGGTTATTTTTTTAAATGGATATGGACAACCTATTGGACCGTCAGATAAGGCATGTAGTGAACTTAGTAGTTTCTTAGGCACACTTGGAAGAAACTCAAGTTTTGCACCTCTGG